ATTATTTGAATTTTCTGAAATAAAATATTTAAAAGATGTCAGTTTCTCCAAACTGCTGGTATGTAAACTATTTCTGAAACAAAATGTAAAACTGTCAAAACATGGATGTGTTATGATTCCATGTCAGAGAGAGGGTGTGGGCATGTGACAGTGGCTTCCAGATGTTATTGCCAGATTTGTGTTTCCAAACGCATCCAGAAGAGTTTATCAAGGACTTGAGCACAAATCAGGTATTTCCACAAGGAGCAGATAAGAAAGACAACACTTTCCTCACATGTGGCCGTTAGGTTTTGATGATTCTGAAAATTGCTGGCACGGGTACTCAACAGTCTAGACAATTTTCCCTGACCCTGTGGAGGCAGCTGCTGCAGTTACAAAAGAGTAAGGTAGAATCCTGGAAGATGTGTCCTTCTATGTTTTGCACACCAGAAGAACCAATGACCTAAACAGTGGACCTTATAACTCTAAAATGATTCTTTTTTCTTTCAAAAGCACCAAAGAGCTTTTCAAAGCTAAACCCAACTCACTCTTCAGTAAGCTTGTTAGAATCCACACTACCTCCTTGAAATTTTCACATTTATTTTTTATTTTTGCAACATCACTTCCTCTGAATCTTCTCCTACTTTGCTCTGGCCACTGCTCAGTCTTCTTTATTAACTTTTTTTCCTGTTTTATTCATATTTATTTTATGTTTAAATTTCCTTGTTAAATATGGGCTCTTAACTGATGACTTTCACAGGTGACAAAAATCTACCAACTATTATTATTTTGCAAGTGAAACACCTTTCTAAGCAAAACATATGCAAAAGGAATAATGCCAAGAAAAAGCCAACATTTTAAAATGAATGAACCGAGCTTCCTTACTTTACTTGTTTCATCATGAAAGGGTGAAGACCTCATGACAGATTGTGATTAGTCCAAGGATTGGTGACAAGGAAACTATAGCTCTGACTAATGATAAAGCTTCCTTTGTCTCCCAGCGTGTTTACGTGGTTACCTTCCAGCCACCCCCTCCATGAGGGCTCAGCAAACTAAAGGCCACAGGCCAAATCCAGCCTGCCATACGGTTCTATAAGTAAAGTTTTATTGCAGCACAGTCATGCCTATTTGCTTGCATATTACCTGTTGGGGTAGTTTAGAAATGTTAGGGTGACCGAGGGATATTGCTGGCATAAGAACCTCTGCGGATGTGACAGTCTGCATAGGTGTGGCTGTTTTCCAGGTGGTAAGGACATTCCAAGGGCAGAAGGAACTGAAAACAGTTTCTCTCCTGGGGCAGAAAACTGCTCCAGGACTGCTATCGGGAAGGCACAACCTGCTGGAAAACTAGCCTGGCGGCAATCCCAAATTGATGTTCTTGTTTACCTTTAGGCTAGAAATGGCTTTGATATGTAACCTTTACGGAAATCTACAGAACATCGTTTGCCTGTGGGTTGTCTTTGGAACATGTTTGTTTGTATGATTTATGATGAACCTTTGCTCTTGGGATGAATAAATATGAGTGAGGAATTGCTCTCCGGACTCCCGGTCTGGAAAGCCTTGAGTCCCCTGACTCCACTCTTTCTCTTCCACCGTCTCTTTTCTTATTCCTGCACAATGCCCTGTTTTCGACCCTGTTGGGTGGTGAACTCCCAGCAATTATCTAGGACTATTTTCACATTACAAGGGCAGGGGTGGGTAGATATGACAGAGACTGCATGGCCTAAAATATTAACTATGCGGGGTCTTACAGAAAGAAGCTTGCCAATTCCTGCTTTAGACCAGAACCAGAATGACCTGGTATCAAATCTAACCTTGTAACTCCCCTGCTCAAAATTCTGCCATGAATCCCAGCAGCAAAAATTGCTGACTCCCTACCCAATAGCTATTCCTCATTCTTTCTTGCTGGGCAAACACAATTCTATTTGGATATTTATCATCCCAGGACCCCTCAGCTCCAAAAAGAGACATGATTAGTCTAAGCTAATTATAGAAATTACAGCTGCTCCCCAGGAACTGGTTAAGGAATAAGGATGTGGTATCACCCAGCCAATACAATGGGACAGGCAGTCCACTGAAAGCTTCTGAATTTTCTCCCTGTTTAAGAGAAACAGGTGAAGAAAAGCAACCCTCCCAGCCTTTAGATATCGTCTTGTGAGACCATCAGCTTTGCAGGTGTTGCTAATTAGGCAACCATGAAAGGAGACGTGAACACAACACCACCAACAGCACAGCTCAAAGACGGACAACAAGTGGCACCCTGACGATATCACGGAACCACCAAAACTCTGGTTCCTTTGGTTTTGGCTTCTGTTCGTTAGGTCATCTATTATTTGCAGACAAAAACCATCTAAGTCAGAAATTTCCCATGGCCTTCAGAACAAGATCTATTCATCTTTATGCTATTAAAAAGTCTTTCATAAGCTTGCCTTAGCTAGGTATTCACCTCACTCCCAACCACTCCCATATACCACACTTTTTCCACTAGCAAAATGGAACTACTCATGAACCCTGAAAAGTTTACTCATGCATCTCAGATTTTGCACTCGCTGTTCCTTCCACTGAACATGCAATCTTGTCAGATGTTCCCTCTGCCAAACATCATCTTTCTGCCTCTTTACCTGGCAAACTCTAACTCGCTCTACCCAGCATTTTAAAGCTTTAATTCCTTACCACAGACTTAAAGTACACTGCATATATCTAAGATAAAACATAATAAATGATAATTGTATGCTCCCAGAGGGGATCTGGCATACAGTAAGCACTGAATAAAGTACAAAGTAATAAAAATGATACTGGTAGTAAAAACCCATGACTCTATATTTAAAATATTTATATTGTATAACATTAGAAAAATGCTTAGTACCTAAAAGACATTAGAGAGTTATTTGCTAAATGGGCAAGTGAATAAATGAATAAAAACGTTCTCTTTGACAATTCTGTTGACAAAACACAGAAATTAAATAGGTATAGCTCTTTCTGTTATGAACACCTGAAAGACCAAAACTAGGTCAATCCTCTGTCTCCTGAAACTTGCAAAATCTAACTTAGAGAAGTTCTTTGATTAAATATACACTCTATTAAAGGTGTCCTCATACAGTTCATATTGTACGATGCATTAGGTGTCCTCCCATCTAGGCAGCACAGTAGCGTTTTTCTTATTGGGAAACATTTTTGTGCTTGTATTACAGTTTGTTGAGCCCAGAGTTGGGCTATTGGGATATTTATTATGATAGTCTTTTGGCTAATGGTAATAGAGCATCTTCTTCTAACAAAAATTAGTTATCAAGACAATTATGCAGCAGATAAAACACACGTTGTTCTTACAAGATAGACTGATATCTCATTCAGTTTCAGCTTATGGGGAGTGGAGTTGATAATAGTGAGTCCTTGTTGGTTTAAGAATATAGAACATAACCTGTGTTTCCCAACAAGTTATTGCTTCTCTGACTTCTGTACTCAGCAGGCATCTTTCAGAAATAATCTCCTCTTGATATTGATGCACACTGGCCAAGTATTGCAGTTCTTGTTGCCATTTGTTTTTGGTATCACAAAAGTATTATTGAATTCCCATGCTTAAAGGTAGTTACTTTGTAAATGGCATACACAAATCACTATGTCATACAGTTGACCCTTGAACAACAAGGGTTTGAACTGCAGGGGTCTGCTTATATGCATATTTTCTTCCTCCTTTGCTGACTTCAGACACCAAGATCAACCCCTCCTCTTCCTCCTCAGCCTACTCAACATGAAGATGATAAAGATGAAGACATTTATGATGACCCACTTTCTCTTACTGAATAGGAAATACATTTTTCTTCCTTATGATTTTCTTAATAACAGTTTCTTTGTCCTACCTTACTGTATTGTAAGAATACAGTACATAATATGTATACAATACAAAATCTGTCTTAATAAACAGATTATGCTCTCAGTAAGGCTTCTGGTCAACAGTAGGCTATTAGCAATAAGTTTCGGGGGAGTCAAAAGTTATATGCAGATATGAGTGCATGGGGCATCAGTGGCCCTAAATACTTTGCTCTTCAAGGGTCCACTGTAATATTCATTTACTAAATACAAACCATTTATTATACAAATTAAATTGAAGATCCATTCTTATAACAAGTCACAGTCATTATGATGTTATTTAGAGAAAACATACAGCATACTAACTTAAAACCTTTTTTGTTATTTATACAAAATATCAGAGAGGCTTTCAGGGATCATAAATAAATGAGGTTTTTTTCAGACACTAATATTTTAGATTACAAATTACCTACAATTAAAACTTGTTAAATAATTCTCATCTGTAGAGTATTAAGAAAGAAATTAAGAAAACACAAACACACAATTTGCACATCGATTTTTTAACTATTCTTTTGTGATCAAAACATCCTTACTTTTATTTTTTTATCTATGGTAGGACCACCAAGAGTAATTTACAATCAACAGTCTTACCTGGATAGCTATCTTGAGAAATTTCTTTAGGAATCTGTTGTTGATATTCAGAAATTAGTTGGTGAATGCTATGTACAAAAAATGTAATAAATAAAATTACTGTTTTCATACTTACATAAGAAACATTTAAGAAATACCTGAAATTCTTAGACTATTCCAGACAATATCAGAGATAATATCAGAACTTTAATTCTAATGTGCACTTCAAAATTGTAAGCTCTACAAACTTACTAAACTTCTCACTTAAAAAGAAAGTAAGCTAAAGCAGCCATGAATAGAGGTAAGTAGAGCTCAGTAAATTAACTGGCACTAGCTTGTCATAATGGAAAGTTCCCTGAACTCAAACGAAGTGCCAGCTCTGTAACCAACAGCTATTTGTTTTCTACATATAAACTGATGAGTCATGGATGAGGCTTAGCTCTGTTAAATCCAGTTAACCTACTTTAGATTCAGGGAATTCTGTGGAATAGTTTCCTGGTGAGGTAGAATTTGAAAATATTTTTAAAACTTGAGGTGGAGATGCAAGTAGTTTGGGAGGTTTTCATTTTAAGAATGCAGCTCACTTGAGAGGCCAAGAACAAGGTGCTGCCCACTACTCTAGGGAAGAACAATATGGGAGCTTCTGCTACCTAAGAAAAGGTTCTACACAGGTTATAAAGGAGCCTCGAGGTACAGGTCTGGTAGCAAAGGAGAAAGGAAACTGTCATCTATTCCTGCAATGTTATTTGAACCTCTCTGATAGTTTAGAACAATTCCAACTAATATTTGCCAGAGAAAAGACTAACAAGGCCCTCAAAGGATAATTTATCATGAAGCTCAAGGCAAAGTCAGAGCTAAGATGTGGGTTCCACATAAGGTGTTCAGTGTAGGGGGAAGGGTGACTTTCCTCACTGTGCGTGAGGCTAAACCTAGGAGGCCCAGCTGCCAGAGCAGGGTGCTGGTGCTTTGGAAGAAATGGTTGAGCATATAAGCAAATGTATCTGAACTAAAAAAAAATTGTAACTTTGAAGTCTAAGTATGGATCACCCTGAAGACCGAGGGATCTGAATCAGTCAGGGCATCCTGGTAGTAAAGGTCAATCGCTACCACATGCAGGACCCTTTCAATAACAACAGTGCAGCAACAGAATCAGTGGAAGCCATGGAATGAGTAGAATGTCCTTCCCCAGCTTCTGACTTATAAAAGAGGACTGTATCATCCCATGCACTTTGGAACCTCTTAGGATCTTCAAAATTTCAAGGAGGATTGTATGAGAGATAGCCCCCAGGGGACAGTACAAGATTTTCTGCTGAAGTAGACATTTCAGGCCCCAAATAAGTAATTGGAAAAATCAAAGATGTAACACTACTTTTATCTCATGCATAGGGGTTATACTCGGAATGACACGCACAACATAGGGATCCCTAAGGATAAAGGTCTCAGAGATCCTGTGATAAAGAATCCTGCACCCACTGCTCCTTCTAGCTACTCTAGCCTTTTCTTGATTTCTGAATGGAAATAAAGTGAAGTTAGTAGTGAAAGTAGTAGTCCAATGAAGGGGACTAACTCACTACCATTTCAATACAACCTGAACCAAACTATGAAATCTCACCTAATGTGTAAAATGCAATAGTTATATTTCTTTGAAACCTCAATATAGTGTTAAGTAACCCTTTAATGTAAACACTTACTCATCAAAACCATTATCAATGGCATAATCTTCTGCAGTGCATCGAAATATATCTTGAGAAAAGACATCAATATTTTGCTGAAGAAGAAGATGAACTATATCTGCTGATCGAGAACATACTGCAAGTATGAGGGCATTTCTAAAATAACAGAGAGATAACCTCACCATTATTAACTTTAAAAAAGATTTAAACAATTAATTTGATATACATTAACAACTTAACATCTTGCCTGTCTGTGTAGAATTAAGCATTTACATGTACTAATAGACATAAGCATCTCGGGTGCTCAAATTTCATTTTTGTATATTACCACCCACGCTAAAGATAAGGAAGAAAAAGGAAGCCACCTGTCCCACTGGGATGTTACAAAGTAAGAGTTGCTAATTTAAAGTCCTTTGATTGGCAAGAAACTATGCTGAGATCACTGATCTAAAGTAGGCAAAGATTTAAGTGATGAATTCTCCATTTCTTCCCTAGTCTGATATATTAATAATATGTTGTAATTTCAGGGTCAGCTAGGGGTCAGATATGCAGGCTTAAAACTATACTATTAGTAATAATAGTAAATAATAGTAGTCGTAGGAGTTTCAGTTAATGGTACTGATGATCATCTGCTAGGAATTTAATTAAATGCTACATAATCTTACTTACATACAATAATCCTTGAAAGACACATTATTATCCTGCTTTTCATATCAGAAAACATATTTGGTGATAATGTTCCCAAGGTCACACACGTAGCAAGCGTGAAAGCTCTGAATTCAATACAGACTTGTGGGCTTCTAAAGTCTATCCCTTTTCTCTTTATTACCCACCTATGGCTTGTCTTAAATAAAGGAAATATTACTCCAATTAAAGCTACCTTTCTTCCCTCTACCCATACCAAATAAAATTAAACCATCAAAATACAGTAGAAATTAAAAAGAAAAAAAAAACCTGAACCCACGGTATCTGGTAATAGCAATTAAAAGTCACTCAGGGATAACCTAACATCAATATTCTTCAAAGAAAGCAACTTCAAGCAAAGAGTCATCCAAAAGACTGTATGATTTTTAAAGCCTATTTATGTTTAATAGAGCATTTGTAAAGAAAAACTACATAAGAAGCAGAGGTTAGACAAATACTATAACAGGGGTAAGAAGTTCAATATTGAGTCAAAAAGAAACTAAAAGTTCAAGTCCACAATTGAACTTTCCATTACAAAACTAACAAAATGAACACAAAACCCTCTTAGCTATAAATACAAGATCATATGACAAAAACACCAGAATACAAAAGACAAACATAGGTCACTATTCTAAGCGAAGAGGGATCCTACTATACACTGTTCTTTATGTTACTCAGTCAAATAATGAATTTTGCATCTAACTGATGATTTGTGTTGATATTTTCACTACATCTCAGTAAGTATAAATTAATCTTCTTAATAATTTAATACTTGAGACTTGAGTGACTGTTACCACTCTAGAACACCACCCAGGTTTAAACAACAATAATAACAAAAAATACTACTGTACCTGTCAAAGCTATCGATTGCATTTACATTGGCATTTTTCTTTATTAAAAATTCCACCATTGCAAGTTGGTTTCGATTTATAGCAAGTAAAAGTGGTGTGAGCTCTTCCTGTAAAACAGTGAAAACAATCTATAATTCACAAAATTACATGGTCCTCAACTCAAGTGAAACCCTTATATAAGATCCTGTGAAATTTCACATGTAATGGAGGAAGTAAGTAAAAAGCAGTCCCTTCCTCTCACCCCGCTGTGCTTCGCCATGCCCTGCTCTTTCCCTTTGACGTGCCCCTCCTCGCCCTCACCACATGAACTGCCACCATCTCTGAAGCTCACTTCTCGTGTTTACCACTACCAAGGCTCTTTGCTTCTGCCACAGCGTTTCTCCTGGTGTAGTGCAATTATTAGCATTTCATTGTTTCCCATCTAAGCCAGGATTTATTTTAGGCAAAACAAAAACCAGAAATAAAAATAAAATGTCTTATCAATAAAAATTCTAATATAGATCCATAGGGATTATTCTCAGCACAATGAAAGCTACTACGTATCACTTGCATTTCCAAGAGACATGAGGAGAAATATACAATGTTGTCTGCAATATGCATAACCTATGCAACTATAACCACAAGGAACCTAAAAGGCTCATAGGCATTCTAACAGGAAGATGATAATTTATGGTGCATATTCATATAAACAAAAAGAGACTTGGAGTGGAGGTGCACGCCTGTAATAGTAGCACTCTAGGAAATCAAGGCAGGAGGAGTCCTTGTGGTTAAGAGTTTGAGACCAGCCTGAGCAAGAACAAGACCCTATCTGTACTGGAAAAAATTAGCCAGGTGTGGTGGCACATGCTTGTAGTCCCAGCTACTCAGGAGGCTGAGGCAGGAGGATCACTTGAACCCAGGAGTTGGAGGTTGCAGTGATGATGCCACTGCACTCTAGCTGGAGTGACACAGTGAGACTCTGTCTCAAAAAAAAAAAAAAAAAAAAAGAAAGAAAAATGTTGATTTAAAAAATCAACTTTTAAATTTTATAACTCAACCCTACTACTAAGGGATTTATATAAAATAGAGACTACTCATTATAAAGACTTATAAACTGTCTTGAAAACCTTAAAATCATTATCAAAATATACTATAAAACAGGGGATGTAAACTAAAATACTTACACAGGCAAATTAGGTGATCTAAGCAAGTAAAGAACATAGGTGGGCATAGTAACAAACTGGAGAATCTACCCTCATATGAAGGGGCAACCTCTGCACAGCATGCCAAACAGTACTATGGGCTCAAGGGACACCAGATGTGATTCTTTAAGAGAAGCCTGAAATCCAGGTTTCTGCATGAGTCTCCTAAATTGTACATGATCCACTTTATGGAGGCAAACTAAACCTATCTATGGGCCACACTTAGACTACAGCCCTTGTGTTTTCATAATTTCTGTGGACGTATTTTCAAATGATTACTATGTACAAAGCAAGTATTTGCATGTGAAATCTTTCCTTTCTTTAGTATCATATGTTTTACAAAAAAACAAGCCCCGAAATTTAATAAAACTGGCTATTAAGACTCATAATAACCAAGAATTATTCTAACATTTATTCATTTATAAACTATTTGTATTTAATTTTCCCCAATTGTTAACCAAATAAATGATTAGTTCATAGGACCACCAAAACTAAATTGTTTTCAAAATTCCTATCCATATTCTTACTAAATTCATGGTTTTCCAGGCTTAAAACTGCCATCCCTGAGTAGGGCAAAGCTCTGTGAACTTAACAGACATACTAAGATAGTCCATAATACAGCTTCAACTAAAAAACTTGTTCCAGATTTGCTACTATTCTAATTGAGAAAACCCTGCTTGGAGCAAACATTTTTTAACCTAGTCACCTGAATAACAAACAGACAGGAAATCCTAAAAGAGCCAGCCTCTCCTTATTGAGAGACTACTCATAAGTTAATATCTAAAGACCCACTGAATGGCAGTGAATGATTGATGGTTGGAAGGAAAAGCGTATTCTTCTGTAAGCTGATAGATGTTACCAATAATAGTGCCTTTAACTTCCCAACCACAGAGGTAGAGAAAGACAGATAAAAGACAGGCTAATATTATTGGACAGGAGAGATCTGAAGGAAGTGCCACCTGTTAAACTCCAACTTTTCTAGAATTTTCTTAAGTTTTTGAGATATGGGAATTCATATGGTACATTTATCTATTCAGTGGTTATTAACCAGGGACGTAGTAGAATCTCAAGGAAAATTTTTGTTATTGTTGTTAGAGGCAGGGTCTTGCTATGTTGCCCAAGCTGGGTTCAAATTCCTAGGCTCAAGCAATCCTGCCACCTCAGCCTACTGGTAACTGGGACTACGGGCACAAACCAATACACCTGGCTTCAAGAAAATATTTTTTTAAATGTACTTGTCCAGATCTTATTAAATTTAATAAATCAAAATATTCTGAAGAAGGCTTGGACTTGTATTTTTTTCAATTTCCCCAGGTCACTATGAGGCACAATTCTAGCTGACAACTAGCTCAGCAGACAATCACTTCAGTCTCATCTCTCATCCGCGTGGAAATGCCCTATGTTATTTGTTAATCAGGGCAGGAAAAAAAAAAGGAAAGAGTAAGATATGGAGTCATCTACTAAAACTTCCATTTAGTTTTCCTGGGTAGGAGGACTAGCAAACTCAAAATGCAACTTGATTTTCCTTTTTATAAGATTCGTATCTGTCATCTCCCCCCCAAGACATTACAGATTTGAGAGCGGTTCAGACTCTTATCTAAGTAGCTCTTTCTGCCAGAATACGATAAGAAATTAGTTAATTATTTCTTCTTCCCTCTTGCTTCCCACTTTATCACCACCTACTCACTTCCAATCTGGTTTCTTCAGAGTCCTCCTCAAATTCATCTCTATGCAACTTACTATTCACTAACTCTCTTTCCCAAACTGAGAATGATTATCCCCCAAACTGAAGAACACCTGGTCTAAACATATAAACTGGAAGAAGAAAAAGAAAAATATATACACAATAAATGCCATGTTGGTATTTTTCCTCAATTACTTAATTTCCAAATTGACCTGCATATTTCTGATTGCTTTGCTTTTCCTTTCCGTTTTTCCCTCTTAAGCACTGCCACCAAGAGATAAATCCTTTTCTCATAGACATGTATGCATTAGGAACTTGTCAACAACAGCAAGATTTTCATTTACTGTAAAATGCATTTGCTTTAGTAGAGTTTTAAGATCAAAGCCTATTTCCAGGAAAATTTTTGCTTTCTTGTGTTGCTTTACACTAATTTAAAAAAAAAAAAAAAACACGAGTGGGAAAAAATATTCAAAAAGAAAAAAGTTTTACCTTTAACAAATTCAGTGTTTTCACAAATATTTATCATCAATCCATTAAAGAAAGGTGTGCCCTCTAATACTTCTTTAAAATTATCAATATTTAAAGTTAAATCAAAGACAATTAAGTTATTTCAAAATATTTTTATTTAGGAAACACTTAAACTTCCAAATATGGAGAATTGACCCTTCCATATGTCAATATTAAAACAAATACCTTTCACATATTTTGAAAATAAAGTTGATTGATCTATACCTTGTTTTTTCCTTCGATATTTGCACCATGTGAAAGCAGTTTTGTCACCAATTCTGTATGCCCATTATACACAGCATAGTGCAGAGCAGTGTTGCCATAGTCATCCATAGCATTTGCATCCGCACCATTTTCTAACAGAACAAATGCACATTCTGTTTCCTTGCATTGTACAGCCTGTCAATATTAGACCAAGAAATAGATGGTAATTTCTAGGAATTCAAAATAAACATTCCTCAGCTTTCATCAAGTAGTTATATTTAGAGGAGACAAATTCTGTTTTACTCTATTTGTATTTAAATCAAATCCAACTCAAGCTGAAATAGTTGGCTACTGTATACCTTCATCAGAGCTGTCCTGTTTTCGTCATCACGGATGTCAAGCTGGCATTTGCTGTCCACCAGGAGCCTTACCACGTCTGCATGGCCCAGGGCACAGGCCAAATGCAGGGCAGTCCTATGAAAGGGAGAGGATTTTTGAGAAAATTTTGGTGCACTCTCTCAAAACATGCAATTATTTAATTGTAAACATTAAATACCATGTCATTCCTCTGCTTTGGAACAATTATTTCATTTTCTTATAAAGAAAGTACAAAATGTATTAGCTCTTATTACTCACTACATTAATGAAAGAGCAGCCCATCTGAGTAGACAAAGCATGGCCTTCAGATTCAGTTCAACTTGGGTTTGGATCCTGCTTTCAGCTCTGTCACTTATTAGCTATTGCCTAGCCTTTCTGTGCCTCAATTTCCTCATCAACAAAAGGGGGATAAACTTAGTAGCTGTCTCAGAGGTCACAACTGTAATACTTAAATGAGAATCTATGCAAAGTATTCCCAGCACAAACAACAGCTCAATAATTGTTAGATATTATAATTATTAGTTACTACTACTTAACAAAGACACTATTTTAATAAGTAAAATGACACAATTATACCTAATTGTGGTATGTTTTACTGCTAAGAGAGAACATTGTGTATCAATGATTCTCAGATGCCGATTTTCTCATATTTTCACATCGCAGATATTGGAATACCACTTATATGTAATTCATGACTTATTAGAAATATACTTGGCAGCATTTTAAGAATTCCTTTACTGATACATAAGATAATGAAGCATCACACCATCCATTGTGCCTTACATTAAGTGGAATATGGTATGTAAAGCTCTATGGAAGGTGTAGTCCTAAGACTGCCATTTAACTAAAATTTTGGTTATAAAAGTACTATGGGGAAAGAGGGATGAAATAACAACAACAAAAAGTTTTAAAACTAAATATTCTTACTTTGGTTTTCAAAAAAGTTTAAGCTAAAAAAAACTCAGGATTCAAATGAATAGGTATGGCTCATTTATTCAATATTTAGATTTATTGAATGTATGAAAACCAGATCTTTTCAATGATTAATATTAGTATCTGACTGTTAAATATTTTCAAAAGGGTAAAGACTTTTACAATTTTATAGTTTCAGAAATGCTTTTGTTTGAAAGGAGGGAGGAAAAGCTTCAGTTGAGATTAACTCCTAATACTTTGATTTTAAAACTCTCAATTTGCTCAGGCTGGACAGGGAGACATAAAGTTTTAAGGATGGAAGAGTCCTAAAGGTAGTAGAGTATGTCTGCTACATAGTGGGCATTCAGGTTATGTTTGATGAATAAATAAATTTACAGACTGTATAAATACAGTTGGTGAGTTTAATATTTTGAAACAAAACTCTTATAAAGTAAAGCAATATTTTTACAATAGCAATAATCATGTATAGTTGCTATTTTTATTTTAATAAGAACACAGTGAATGAAAATAAAATGATTTTTAAAATA